CTTTCAAGGTGCAAAATCCATGAGGGAACAGGTAGTCATGATACAATGCAAATTAACTTATAAAATTACCTAACCATACACCTTCTTCTTCCCCACGTATCCAAAATGGTTCACTGATTATCTGTTTATCAGTCTCGTTTGTTTTTTAACATGCCTTCTGTATTGTCCCTATGCTATTGGAATTACATAGGCACTGACTGAATAGCAATGGCCTTAGCAAACATCTCAACTTTTGGCTACCAAAGGGCAAATGTTTCTGAGATGCAAGCACTGTACCTGGAAATCACAACTGTGCTCCTGAAGCCTGTGTCTACTTAACTAAATAGCAACTGTCATTTTTCTGAAATTGGCCCAGGCTTGCTGTGGTCGACTACAGATATGTTCATGAACTCCAGGAAGAGGCACAAGTATTTCCAGCTCATTTCACACTAAAATGGCAAATAAAAGCTGATATAATGATTTGACTAAAAGGATGAAACTTTTTGGTTATTGTTTTGTTTCCCCCCAGGATGAAATCATAGTCGGATAAGTCTTAGTTGTAGAATGTGTGACATTGTTTAGTCCCAGCAGACTATTTTTTTTTAAATCACAGTAGCCTAAAATTAGAAAATTTGAGGAATCCTGCAATATATGTAAATAACTATTTGATTTTTTGAAGTGTTTACCTTCATTTATAATCAATAGGGCTCAATTTTGTCACTACATTTTTTGAATAAAAGGTGGTAATAGTTAAAAGAGAAAGTGATAGGCCATTTTGTTTTCTTATATTTCAAGTCAAAAACCTTGTACCCAAAGTAACTTTATTGTTCTGTTTCACTATAAATAACAAGTGAATGAGCTGTGGGGATAGTCAATAGCTTTGAAGATACAGTAGGAGGTAAATCTAACCTGACTCTCCAAAATTTCTTTTTTTTAGCTGGAGGGAAACCTCGTGCACCTTTAAGCCTGGTGGCCTGACGCCGTAGAGAGTATGGATATGTCTATACTGCAATTAGACACCTGCGGCTGGCTTGTGCCAGCTGACTTGGTCTCACAGGGCTCAGGCTAAGGGGCTGTTTAATTTCAGTGAAGACGTTCGAGGTTAGGCTACAACCCGAGCTCTGGGAGCCTTCCACCTCACAGGGTTTTAGAGCCTGGGTGTCTAATTGCAGTACAGACATACCCTATGTGACACAAGTATGGGGCATTTTGGTTAACATCCAGTTAAGTTTTGAGGTTGAAGGCAATAAAATGCTACTGACCCTGTGGGGGAAATGAAGGCATGAAAGACTGACACTAAATGTTCTTGGGCTAAGACTGCAGTTAGGCACAGTTGGGCAAGGGAACTGCAATAGCACTCAGAAGGGGGAGAGAGGGGAAAGACATCCCTCCAAAAAGAGCTGAGCAGAGGAAGCTTCAAAGCGACAGATGGCACAGAGCTGAGGTGGCTTTGAGGTGACGGAGAGCACTGGTAGGCAGCGATGTAACAGGTCTGGCCTTTTAAGGGAGTCAGATGCCCAGTCTACCTGTGACAGGCTCTACTGAAGGCAATGAGCCAACCCAGGTTAAACTGGGGATAGTTAATTGCCTCTAAGTAGCTGGAAGGCAATTAATAAGTAAGGAGCATCTGGGCCTAATAAAAAAAAACTTAGCAGAGCTCAGTTAGAAAAGCTCCTGAGGAAAAAAGAGGCTCCCAAGGATCCTAGACTAGGCAAAAGCTCTCTAGGCAGGGAAGCCTAGGAGAGACCCTGAACAAGCAGGGGAAAGACTGAAGAGCTCTCCAGGCAGCAGAGAAGCCTGAGGCCTTACAGCAGAAGGAGTTGCTGATGGAACCTAGAGACTATTATTCCGGGGCTTAAGTTTTACCTGGGCTCTGAGATAGAGTCTTTAAACCATTGTACAAGTGCTCTTTTCAGAAGGCTTGACCTCTGTTGTAAAGTAGAGCATCTGACTTGCTTCTCCTTGACTGGCTGTTACCAGTGATCTGTTACTTCATTGAGGGGGTATGTTGGGATGGACTAGGTCTGGATGCCTCATGACCCTGCCACACCCTGCCCCTGTAAAGGGCAGTAGAGAGTTCCTCCAAGCTGCCTAGAGTGGCTGTATGGGAAGGAGCCAATCAGGGCCCAGGAGGTTATTATAAGAAGAGTTGCAGAACCAGCCTGAGTTCAATTCCTTGCTAGAGCTGGAGGAGTGTGCCTTGCTGAGGGAGCTACAGGGGCCTGGAGACAGCACTGCTGTTGGGGTGGGGAAGATGCAAAGGAGTTCCAGGCTGGCTGCTGGGACTCAAGCAGGACAAGGCCCTGAGATAAGGGCAAAGAATGAACTGGGACCATGGGGAAGTGGCCCAGGGAATTTTAGCAGCAATGCAGTTTATTTAGAGGGGCATGGTGGATGGCTGTTATCTATAGTGTCCATGGGCTGAGACTCAGAGTAAAGGATAGGCCCAGGTCCCCTGAGCCACTGGGAAAGTGGCCTGGACTTTGATACACCCCAGAAGGGAAACTGAACTCTCTTCAGCTGGGTCACTAATAGGTGGGTCCAGGAAGGCCTAGAAAGGCAAAGAGCCTCCAGGGAGGGAACCCTATGGGGATGTGGCCCCTACGAGGGCCGGGACTGCTTGAGGATCAGGGACAATTTGAAAAAGCACAGAAGGGGCTGAGACACAGTTTGAAGCAGGGTACTGTGATAGCCTCACTGGACTGATTGAGGAGTGAGCCCAGAGATAAGGCTACAGATTGAGGACCTTACAGAGCGCATTGCGATAGGCCCCCTGTTGGACATATACCCTGGAACACCACAAACACAGGCACACTCACTTAGGCAGGGGGCACTCATGAGAGGTGAGTTCACCCCCATTCTGGAGAGAAACTGCGGCAGGCTGCAGCCTGCACACTTTCAACTGAAAGGAGGTGCTTGGGGGGGTGGAGGAGTGACAATATCCCTTTTACAGATGGATGCTGCAGAATGAGGTCACTTGGGTTGAAGCTGTAGAGAGAGCAGCAGCCTATCTAAGGGACACTCTATGTGCCTCTCTACCCAGCAATTAAAGATGGGTCAGGTGACTGAACAGAACAGGTAGCGCTGACCTGCCAGAATCCTTATATTCCACTAACCCAGGACCACTAACTGAATGCAGCAGCCACTTATGACAGCAGACAAGGACTGAGGTTGGGACTATTGTTAAGGCTGTGGTGGGAGGGTTGTCTTACCTAACATTGTTAATTCATGAATTTTGGGTTTTCTTCAAATTATTCTGTTGCCCCTTCCACTGCCCCAATAAGGTAGTCTTTGTTTTAAACCTCTGGACTCAGTGCTTGTGAGTGGGGATGTATTGCCCATTGAGATGGGGTGTGCAGAGTGGTATATCTAATTTCCCAGGTTTCTGGAGGGGGGGGGGACTCACACCATTATTTATTTGAGGACTGTTATCACCCAACGTGACTGCATGTGGCACCACACACCCAGCTGAGTCACCTTAGTCTTTACAATAGAGGCACCAACCAATTTCCAAGCCAACAATAGAGGCACCAACCAATTTCCAAGCTCCCCAGCCTTGTACCCCTACTGGAGTATAAACTGAGAATTATACCATCTTGCACTGCACAAGAGTCTGTATGCTGCAAGCTCATTAAATTAGTCTGCTTCCCCCTCGATGTGGGGAAGATATGCAACAGGCTATGTTACCAGAGCTAAGATTTCCAAACACTTCACTCAAAGACACAGTGGTTAAGATATAAAACAGGTTTATTAACTACAGAAAGATAGATTTTAAGTGATAGCAAACAGATCAAAGCAGTTTACCTAGGAAATTTAAACAAAATCGCAATCTCAGTCTCCTACAAACTAGATAGGGTTTGAATCAGCAATATCTCTCCCTGACTGATGATACATGCAGGCTAACAGATTCTTGAGGCACAAGCTGCATCTGCTTTGCAGCTTGGGTTCCCCTCCCCGCATTCAAAATCCTTTGTATTCCAGAGGTTCTTTCAGGTGTTGAGTTGCGGGGGGAGTGAAGACCAGTCATGGTGTCACTCCTCATCTTTTATAGGTTCTTCCAGCTTGCTGGAAAGTCTATGCATGTGATGTGGGAGATCTGCACCCATTGGCCAAACATTCTCTATTGTCGACATGCTCCCTCTGAGGAAACTTCCTTATATCAAGTTCCTGTAATCGTGGATTTTTCCCTAGATGGGTATTGGTTACAGCAATTAACACTATCAGGCTACTCCATTGTTATACCTGAAAGGCTAGTTGTGAGTGTTTCCAACTTCACAACATCTTTCAGTAACACATACATAGCAAAACTTCATAACTTCACATACGATAGCACATATAAAAAGATATTAATCTTTAGCAGATCAAGATTTTCAGAATGATATCTCACAAGGCATACTTTGTACACAACATATCATAATTTTATGACAGTGGTGAATATGGGGGTGCCATAGTGTTGCAGAGGGTGAGTGACAATGGATGACAGCCCCCCAACCTGAAGCAAATACCAGCAACTACACACCTCGCCACAGAAACACTAACCCAGGAACCATCAGGAACTTATTCACTGCACATCTCCTAATGATATATATGCCATCATGTGCCAGCAATGCCCCTCTGCTATGTTCATTGACCAAACCAGGCAGTCTCTACGTAAAAGTATAAATGGACACAAATCAGACATCAGGAATAGTAACATACAAAATCCAGTAGAACACTTCAATCTCCCTGGACATTCTATACCAGATTTAAAAGTAGCCATCCTTCAACAACAACAAAACTTCAAAAACAGGGTTCAAAGAGAAACTGCAGAACTAAAATTCCTTTGCAAATTTAACACCATTAATTTGGGCTTGAATAGGGACCGGAAGTGGCTGGCTCACTACAAAAGCAACTTTTCCTCTCTTGGTATTGACCCCTCCTCATCAATTATTGGGAGTGGACCACATACAACCTGATTGAATTGGCCTTGTCAACACTGATTCTCTACTTGTAAGGTAACTCCCTTCTCTTCATGTGTCAGTATAATAATGCTTGCATCTGTAATTTTCACTCCATGAATCTGAAGAAGTGGGGTTTTTGCCCACTAAATTTTATGCCCAAATACATTTGTTAGTCTTTAAGGTGCCACCGGACTCCTCGTTGTTGCAGTGGGTGAGTGACTTCTTAATGGTGGTCACAAATGTATGTATTTAACTCAATTGGTTGACATGAATCACAGCTGTTACCCTCTTTTTTTCTTTTATTTGATTTTTGTCAGAGTAAGAATGAAGTTCTCTACTTACATACCAAACCGATACAATGTGCACAGTATAATGGCACTGCCAGTCTCCCCATAATTTCCCAGTAGGGTGCTTCTTCCTAATCTGGAGGAACTGCCACATAAAAGTAGATAACTTAGTCCCTATGCTATCAGCTTTTGGTGTCTCTGAGACTACCAACCTGGCAGCCGGCTACTCCCAGCCATTTTACAGTTTTGCTGTGCCTCTTGTGGCTACTGAATTAGCATGAAGGTTATAAAAAGTGGTTTGGATAAAATGAGTGAAGCATGAAATTACTAACGTGCTGTGCTACAGTGATGAGCATGGAATTAAAACTGGGGGGGGGGGGGGAGGGATTTCAGAAAAACTAAAATTTAAAACAAAATTCATGTATCCCAAAGCTTTCTGGTTTTGACTGGGACCAGAAATGGATATAGACACATACCAAAGATAAGCAAACCTCAACTGAAATCTGAACCACATTATCTCTATCAGTCTGTAATATCCACATATTTTGAACATGGAAAAACCCTCCTAAGCACTGCTGAGGTCTGAGCTTCCACAGTCAGTACCAACAGAGTACTGGAAATAGTTTTTTAAAGAGCCTATTACAAACTTTACAACCAGTTTCCAGAACAAAGAACTTCACAGCAGGGTTGGATGCTTGTTCATACAGAATGTATAGAACTGTTGAACTTCATCCTTTCTAGTCTAGGTTATTCTATACAGTTTCTTATTCTATAGTCTCCAAATGCCCCCCCCCCCCAGTGCATTAAGTAATGTAAGTAAGAGCTGTCATGTGTTTGTTCTCTTCTCTTCTCCCTAGGGGAAGAAGTACGTGCAGTGGAATGTTTTTTTAACTTATAGCAACATGTCTGTAAGTTAGAGAAGACTAGGTCAAAGAAATGCACTTTGCATTTGGAGCAGAAAGTGTTGAGGTTTGTAATGGTCTTTAGTTCATGTGCAAGTTCATTCCACAGTCTTGAACTGGCATCTGAGAAAGTTCTGTCTCTCTCACAGATGAACTTTACTCTTATTGTAGAGATCTTTGTTGTGCAATAGGAGCAAAGTTGTTGACCACAGTCTTCATCGCAGAGCTTCAGTTGTTCTCTTGGAACCCAGTCCACTGAACACCTTGAGGACAAGAACCAAGACCTTGAATGTGATTTGAAGCCAGTGTCGGGAGGGAAGGGTAGATTTTGATGTGTTTCCAGTAGCCAATGTCACTAGAGAGATGCACTGCAGTATTCTGTACCAGCTGGAACTTCCGAAGTTCTGGAGGCTTCATGCCCAGGTATGTTGCATTTCTGTAGTACCCCTGAACGGTGACAAAAGCATAAATAACTGTGGCTAGGTCACCATCCACTAGAATGGGACAGAGTCTCCCAGTTAACCAAAATGATAGAAAATATTTTTAATGGATAATGGCACAGAGAGTACACTTATAAAGTTTGTGGATGATACCAAGCTGGGAGTGGTTGTGAATCCTTTGGAAGACAGGATTAGAATTCAAAATGATCTGGAGAAATCATCTGAAATAAATAGGATTAAATTCAATAATGACAAATGCAAAGTACTGTATCTACACATACAAAATGGGAAATGACTACCTAGGAAGGAATACTGCAAAAAATAATCTGGGGATTATAATGGATCACAAACTAAATATGAGTCAACAATGTAATACTGTTGCCAAAAACAAACAAAACAAAACATGATTCTGGGATGTATTAGCAGGAGTGTTTTAAGCAAGACATAAGAAGTAACTCTTCCACTCTACTCAGCACTGATAAGGCCTCCACTGGAGTACTGTGTCCACTTTGAGAAAGATGTAAACAAACCGGAGAACATCCAGGAGAGAGGAGCAAAAATGATTAAAGGTCTAGAAAACATGGCCTATGAAGAGACATTGAAAAAACTGGGTTTGTTTAGTCTGGAGAAGAGATGGCTGAGGCAGGACAGAAGTCTTCAACTTCATAAAAAATTGTTATAAAGAGGAGGGTGACAAATTATTCTGTTTATCCACAGAGAACAGGACAAGAAGCAATGGGCTTAAATCGCAGCAAGGGAGATTTAGGTTAGACATTAGGCAAAACTTCCTAACTGTCAAGGTAGTTAAGCACTAGAACAAATTACCTAGAGAGGCTGTGGAATCTCCATTACTGGAGGATTTTAAGAACAGGTTACTCCAGAAACACCTGTCTGGAGTGGTCTAGCTAATACTTAATCCTGCCTCTGTACTGGGGATTGGACTAGATTTAGATAACATATCGAAGTCCCTTCCAGTCCTACATTTCTTTGGTTCTGTGCTGCTATGTGCGGCATCTGGGAGCACTCCTAAGCTACAGACTGAATTGACCAGTTGTGGATATGAGCCTTCAAACAAAGGCGATGACACTATGGCTACAAATTCTTCAAATTCTTTCCTCTGCATATCAGTATCACCGTTGTTTTGCTCAGGTTCAGCTTCAACCAACTGTTTGTCATCCATGTAGTGGTCTTGTACAAGCACTGGATCATCTTGGTAGTAGTGATGTGGTCACATATGGTAAAGGATCGGTAGAGCTGTGTGTTACCTGTATATTGCTATCACTTGAATCCATGTTGTCTGACTAGTTCACCTAATGGTTGCATGCAGATATGTTTGAAATGACTGGAGAGAGAATTTATCCTTGTGGGATTCCACAAGTGAGGGATCTAGTGGTGGAGGTGCAGTTTCCCATCACTATTTGGTGGCTGCATCCCATCAGGAAGGATTCAACCCATTTTAGTGCACTCTCCTGCACCCTCTTGCTGTCTTGCTCAGGTTCATCACTAATGGCTATCTAAACCAGGTGGATCCAAACTGGAGGAAATAAAGATTGAAACTATAATTATCCACTAATACATGTTCTAATTTTTAACCTGATACAAACTTGCAATTAAATCTGAAGTTAAACTTACACGTATCTTTGAAATCCTGGTCCCATTGAAGTCAATGGAAGTTTTTCAATTGATTTGCTTGGAGCCAGGATTTTACCCTGGACTTGAACACTCATCATCTTTACTTGCATCAAGAAGTACCTTATTCAACAAGTAGTCCCACTGATTTCAAGTGGGATATTGCGGTGTAAGTTGCTGTTATCATCAGTCAGTGTATCAGAATCTGGACCTGTATTCTTGGGGCTCTTCCTTCAAACTGAATCACTTTTTTTTTTACATTACAAATTATTTTTTTCTCCAAAAGGTACATCATGTAACTTTCTCAAAACATTTAATCAAAATTCACACAGACATAGATCTTTTAAAAGGATAGTCTTACCTTTTTAAAAATAAACTGTTTACTTACCCCAGGAGTATAATTTCACTATAGTCTCTAATGCTACCACTAAATTAGCTGAGATCCATTTACACATCTACCTCTGGCAGCAATTTGTCCTCCTAGACAATGCAGAGACTAGACCACAGATCTGCATAGTTCCACTGATTTCAATGGTGCTTGACAAATTACACTGGCTGAGGATCTGCCTTGAGCAGAGTCTTTCGTGAGGTTGCTTGTGACAGCTTCAATAGGTAAAGTTTGAATTGTGTGGGTTTGTCTCTTCTCTCTTTCATTGGCATATTAAAATTCTTAAAATCCTCACGTATTCCTTAATCATTTCCTTTCCTGATGATTGCAATTTCCTCTTTTATGGTCTCTTAATTTCCTGCTGCCTAAACTTCAAGGGAATCACCAGAATTCTGCAGCTGGGTTACTTTCTTTTCCCAGCAAACAAAACCATATCAGCTTAAATGTATTTAATCTAAACATCTTCAAGGATGCCCTCTTTCTCTACTTCTGTCCTCATTTCTGCTCTCTCCAATCCTTTCAACCTTGACTTCCTGTTCTCCATCCTACTAGAACTCCCACTCCTCTCTCTCTTTCTGAACTATTGAGTCATTTCTTCCCTTTAAATACCAACTTTACGCCATCAATTTCTCTTTAGTTTGCCTGACTCTGGATAGAGCATTGTTATACTACATTTCAGTGATGCTATATACAAATAAATTGTACTGTAGAAACATAATTTAATAGGATGCAAATGGTGCCTTTTTCAGATTTCAGTAGAAATGGGTCTTAAACCAATGAGATGTTGGTATTTTCAAAAGTTCTTAAAATAATTAGGAAACATGAATATCTGAATATATTCACATTCACTTCATGGCAATATGTTTGATTAATGATTTTCATCTTCCTTTGATTATTTAATTCACTTTGAACTACAGGAACTTGCAAATTTTAAATAATGGACCTTAAACATACAGCAAATGACTTGAAAAGATTTTCAGGGTATTTTAGCATTTTGTGAAACATTTAAAGCATAGCTGTCTATCAGCAGTTTAAAAGGCCTTGGGAGGTCAAGTGTAATGGCTTTTACTTTATAAAAGGTCATATTTAACATTTAAAGTAAATTTGCAGTTTCAAAAATGCCCTATTTTTCAGCCATCACAGTTGAAAATATTATTCAAAAGAAAACTCAATTTTCAGTCACTAATTACTGCCCATTATCAAAAGACTGATTTACCCTTCAACTTCCCTAAATACAGTGCTGAGTTTATTGGATTTAAGACTTCCACAAATTGTAGATCTTATGGGGAACATATGTTCATGTCAAATGTAAGGGAAGATTTTCAAAGATACAAAGGGAAAATAGACTTCCAACTCCCTTTGAAAGTCAATGGAATCTGAGCCCCAATTCCCGTTTGTGCCTTTGATAAACTCCCCCAGTAGGATTTCACACAACTACATTGTGGGCACAAGTTACCTCATTAGGTGTGCAAATTGATAGCTACATGCACAAATTTCTCTATGCATCTACTGTAAACAGATTTTTATATGCACATACACTTGTATATTTTTTGCATATCTTAGTCTCTACCTTTTGATATTTTGTCCCTTAATTCTCAATAATTCTTTGTGATAGACTATTTCTTAAAAATATGGCTGGACCAACAAAGGATGCATGTGTGAGACCAAATAGATAGCTTGAGTGTACAAAACATAGTTACCAACTTGCTTTCATGAGGATATGTTTATGGGGGCAGTATTAATACCTCACTTATGACCTAAGTCATATTGTACTCAGTTTCTGCATGGGAAATCTGGTGTCAGCTCAATAATGTAACTCCACCAACATTAAATACACGTTTCAAAAGAGATGTTTAAGGTTATATGCAAATTAGCCAATTACCTAATGTCACACTTGGAGCTACACAAAACATGTCAACTATGAATCAGCAATTGTACCACCTGTAGTACCTACTATTGTGTTAGTTGTTAGAAACCTTCACGTACTTCTACATCGGTGCATGAGTAAAATACGAATTAAAGCGAAATAGTGATGAGAGGAGAAAGCAAACTCTCTGTGCTGGATGAAATCAAACAGGGCAGAAATTGAGTTACTTAGCAATTAAAACAATAATCACCTCATCTACAGATGGTGAACTACAGGAAATAATGTTCCTTTCCGCTTCTCCACAGGACTCACTGCTGAGCAACAAGAAAACAAAGATAGTAGAATATTATATAAAATGTGACTTTAGTCTACACAAAGGCATGCCACAACACCTAACAGACATGTTGAGTATAATTATACCTGCTAGTTCTCTGTAGGATCTGGACAAGAATGGCTATAAACATAACTGTCTTTTGAGCTTGCAATGTCAAATCACACTGAACTATAATAAAATATGGGTTCAGAAGAAAATATAAATATATGATAAAACTATAACATGGACTGGTTCTGAATTTCTGTTAACCAGAAAGAAGTAGGTCAGCATGTTTTGTAATAATAAACTACATTATCAAAGACAAATTGGCTCATAGAAAAAGAATTTCCCTAAATTCTTTCAAATCCTGCATTCCAGTTTCAGTTTTCCCTTCTGTAGATTTTACCTACAATTTAGTTTCAAAACCTTTGCAGTCACCATCTTTGCCTATATAGTTTTTTCAGGTTATGTGTTGTGATAAATGAAAGGGGGGGGAGGGTGGGTAACTCCCTTTTATGGACATCCAGCCAGCCAGCTAGCTATAAAATCCCTGTTAGTAGCTGTTTTCTACATACTTTACCTGTAAAGGGTTAAAGAGTACATAGATAAAAGGAAGGGAGTGGGCATCTGACAAAAAGAGCCAATGGGAAGGCTAGAACTTTTTAAAATTGGGAAAAAACTTCCCCTTTGTCTGTGTTCTCCAGGAGAGCAGAGACAGGGCTGGAACTATGCTGTAAGAGCTTGGTCCAGGTATGAAAAATCATCAGATCATACCTAGAAACTACTCATTGAAACCCCAGATATGTAAGTAGATCAGGAAATGTCTAGGACGAGGTGATTAGGTTTATCTCTTTTATTTCTTTATTGCTTGTGGACTCCTCTGTGCTAACCCCAGGTGCTTTTGTTTTGCTAGACCTCAAGAGAGCTCTCTTGATGCTTAATTCCTGTAATTTTTTTTCTTAATCTAGCAAAAAGCCTAAATTCCAATGTATTTTTTTCTTGTTTTTAATAAAATTTACCTTTTTTAACAACAGGATTGGATTTTTGTTTCCTAAGTGGTTTGTGCAGATGTTGTTTACTTAGCTGGTGGCAACAGCTGATTTCCTTTGTTTTCTTTCTCATCTCTTCCCCAGAGGGTGGGTGAAAGGGCTTGAGTGTACCCCATAGGAAGGAATTCCCAAGTGCGCTTTCCTGGGTTCTCAAAGGGGTTTTTGCACTTGGGTGATGGCAGCATCTAGCCATCCAAGGTCAGAAAAAAGCTGTAACTTTGGGAGTTTTATACAAGCCTGGAGTGGCCAGTATTAATTTTTAGAATCCTTGCAGGCCCCCACCTTCTGCACTCAAAGTGGCAGAGTGGGGAATCAGCCTTGACATGTGTATTATGTTTTCATAAACCGCAAAATATGTACCTTCAGCCTGAATGACTTCTATTTTAGATTACATACTTCTAGCTTCTTTCTTTGTTTTCTGTAATCTCCATAAGATAGAGACCACAGAGTCTCTGACTAACTTTCTAATAGCATCCATCCTGAACTGAACACCTGTTCCAAAAGGCAGGCAGGAGTACTCATTAAATTTAAAGGTGAAGAAAACAATCGATATACAAAATCAAAACCTCTCATTAAATTTACATAGATAGGTACATCACAATGCAAGAAAATTAATACTTACATATACTTTACAAATGCCCAGTAAGATACAGCAGAAGATAGAAAGAATCCAAAACGTTGTGGTACATTTTTCAACTGAGTAGTCATGGGGCATCTGAAATCTCATTAGCGGGACAGGTCTGTCACAGTGAGCAGGAAGAGACATTTATTTGGTCCAATCCTTTACTAATCTTCTAAGAATTTAATCTTCTAACCCTTAAGGTTGCCAAAATAATTTCTGAATGCAAATTGATGCTTTGCTGACTTCCTGAGTTATGTGAACTGTGTATATTGACAGGTTACAAACACAGTATATGTGTGCATGTGCATGCTCAAGGGGACAGTGGGCTGCAGGTAGTACTAAAGTCCATAAGCCTTGTAATATTTTCCATTCTCCAAACCCCTCCCTTGGTCTTCCTGTACAAAATCAGCTTACATAAGGTTTTTGCAAGGGAATAGAATTTCATCCTTTAATAATTCGGCACAGTGTTTTTAGAGTGAATTATCTGTGGCTTCAGTCATTGTGTGTTTTATATAATTAAGTGCAAGAAGTAATGCTGCATTTGTTTGATTCCCCTCCAAAATTTGGTATTTTACACTTTAACAGTAGTGAGTGAACCAATTCAGCTTATCTTTGATATCAGGCATTTCTTTTCCATTCTGGATATATTAAAACATTATACACCTAAATTTCATTTAAGCATAATGAGCAAGCAGGGTAGTTTTTAGTCTTTGCTGGATGATATTTGTTCCTCTGAGTAGCTGAAAGGAAATAAAAAGTTAAAACCCTATAAACACGTCTGTTGCAGTTACACAGTGGTTGCCCCGAATAATTTTTTTTAATGTTAACATGTACTGAGTTACAGTAATTAAATATATTGTGGTATTTCCTCTATTTCTAAGTGGAAATAGAGCAAGAAAGGTAAATTCACTATGCCACTGTATGTTAATCTTTATATTGTTCAAAGCTTTTTAGTGACAGTGCCTTTATTTGGGAATAGAACTGGATCAACAAAATCACTTAGGTGTTGTAGTAAAATTTTTAGGCACCTTGTAGATCACTGGAATCCACAAAGTCTGAGTTAGGCATCTACGCTCCCTATATGATGCATGGGAGAGGAGGAGGTGCCTGAGAACATGATCCACAAACACAGCATGCTAAGCAGCTCCTGGCGCCTAAGCTAGCCAATGGGAGATGCTGATAAGAGAGGTGTGCCCTAAGCCCCACCCCTCTCATAGAGTTTGGCACCTAAGTCTGCTTGCAATGCACAGCCAGAAACCTCTTTCTTGGAGTCAGGTGGCTTAGGTACCTAAACCATTTCTTGAGAGAACCCCTCAGGTGCCTGCCTAACTCCACATAAAATGACTGGGGGGAGTAGGAGGAGAAGCAGCAGCAATCATTCTTATGCTTTCTCTTTGGCCCAATTATTTATTTATTGAACACAAAGTGGAACAGCAATATAGGGAGATCCCCACATCAGAATGTCCTATAGTCCGGTGGTTAGGGTGCTCACCTGAGAGATAGGGAACCTCCGTTCAAATCCCGTCTCATGAGGAGGGAATTGAACCAGTGACTCCCACAAGTGCTCAGTGCAGCTCTACCAGATCAGGCCCCACAAGCAATATGCGAGGCACTCCTATCTTCACCTGGTTTGGGGATGCTGTGGGGCTGAGGTATGAATTATGCAGCTGGATGCCTGCCTGAGGCAGCAGTGCATGTGCCCAGAGGCAGAAACTTTAGTTCCTAGAGCAATTTAACAGTGCAAATTTTAAGGGTTTTTAGGAGTGGAGTGAGTTTAGGCTCCTATGGGGTTAGGCAGCAGCTGAGCAGGGTTTCTGTGTCTCATAGTGGCATCTAAACCCCTTTCTAGATCTGAGTCATAGTAACTAGAGCTGTTTTTTTTTAAAATAGCACTAAATTTCCCCCACAATATGTCAAAGCATTTCCCAATTTCTGTTGAAAACTTTTTTTGATACACTAGTAGAGCTGAATGGAAAATTTGTAAGATTTGCCATACAAGTCCGTTGTCCTACTTGTGGTCATAGCCAATAGCTAATATTACAAAGAAAAGTAAAACAAATAAATATACCTGTTCAGTTATATTTGTTTATTTATTTCGGGGGTGGTGTAGTGGGGCAGATTCCCACCGCAGCCAGGAAGAGATTAAAAAGCTATTCTGGGCCCAGTCCACCTCAACCTGGTGCCCCTGTGAGGCTTGTCAAGGTTGAAGATGGGCAAGTCCTTAAAAGGGAGGACCCTGGCTCTGTCCAGGCTGGTACTCTGAAAGAACAAGACTGCAACTCATAGCTCCCCAGCCCCTGGAAGCAGGAGTTACTGATCAGGAAAACAGCCTGAGAGCCTTGCATCTGCCCCGATTCAGTGCCTTCTCAGAAATGAGAGGGGCCACTTCCTTTCAGTTTGACCTTTTCTCTTTAGCTTCCCAAAAGATCAGGGCTTGACTTTTGCAGACTGTGGAAGAATTCTGACCTTTTATGTGGACTACTTTAACACCCACCCACGCCTAGTAAGGGGACAGATGGAAGGGCTGTACCCTGGACACATAGACAGAGTGGGTGCTGCTTCTCTCCCCGAGGGGATGCTAGAGAGGTATAGCTTATTACAAGTGGGAAAGCTCCTTCTTTTGTCTGATGATAATTTAGTGTATGACGGAAGCATGAGATCTGTTTACCCTTATTTTAGAATGCTTCTCTGTAAATATTATTTAGTATAAAATTAGCTAATCATATTTAAATTCGACTATATTATTTGATTGTGACAGTGAATTCTATGAGCTGACTAGATGTTTTATGAATATATACTTTTCATTCTCCCTTTGTTGTAAATTTGCCAGTCATTAATTTCATTGAGTGAGGCGTTATCCTTTCAAGATAGGACAGTATAAAAAGGAGGGATTGAACAGTTTCCATTATAAGCTTATACACCTCAATCAAGTGTCTTCAAACTCTTCCTGATAGTGCTACCTTATCAGTTAATGATGTGCTGTTGGAAGTCATTCCTCACCGAGAATGGGTTGGATAAGATGGTCTAATAGGGCTTTTCAATCATTAACTTCTTTACTATCCAACCCTATGAAATAACCACATTAGCTTGATATTTGTACAAAAATGATTGAGGTGAAATCACTAACAGTGCTGACACATCAATTTCTTTCTACCCGGATCTGCGGGTAGTGAACGCTCTATCGGGGATTGCTTCTAGTGTAGACACGATAAATTGATCCCCGATCGCTCTGCCGTCAACTCCTCTACTCCACTGCGGCAAGAGGCAAAGTGGAGTCAACGGGGGAGTGGCGGCAGTCAACCCCGCACCATGAGGATGCGAGGTAAGTCG